GTCTGAAACGTCAGAATTCCCTAAAAAGGACATCCATTTTGTTATGCTGTGACACACGAATAAAAAAGTACGAATCAAATATTATTTTGGAAAAATTAAATATTTTTATATTTATATTATTAATTATAATAACATTTACAATTCTAAACCCTATTTATCTCTTTACCTGCATAATTAGCTCCCCACTCGATCCTGCGGCTCGACCAGCTGCTCAGCTCATCCCTGCGCGTGCCCTACATCCCGTGGCTCATCCACGCGGCGATCTATTTTCCCCCCCTCTTGACTCTTCTCCTTCCTCGCGTGAACGCTTGATCGCTAGGCTCTCCAATCGTGGGAGCTCGACTGACCAAACCTTCTTCTCGAGGCTTTACATTCTCCTCCTTTATGGTGACGATTCCTTCTCCGTTGTTTTATTCGACCACGAAATCGTGGTAGGTGGTTGTCTCCCTCTCATCTCTGCCTATAAAAAGACTTCTTAGGTTACTTTGCTGGGTTGTTGAAAATTTTTTGAGAAAAAGGTAGGCTGAGGTGTTCGTTGGTCGCTGCTTTCTCGAAGGTTTTGGGAGAAAAATTTCTATAGGAAGCATTTTCTTAAATTTACTTAAATTTAAGCATTTTCTTAAATTTATTCTAGAATTTTGCTTTAAGTTTGCATTAAGAGGTATTCCTCTTCTTCCCTCTAATCTGCATCATTGGGATTTGCACTTGAAAGTACTTCTTTTCCCTTCTAAAGCATGTGGACGTAAAGTTTAGGCTTGTTTTGAGATCTAATCATGGATAGTTTCTAGAAACAATAAGAATGGAACATAATATGGATACTCTCTCTTTTTTTGCTCAAAATGCATGATAGATAGAATTTTGGAAAATTCTAGTTGTTGTCATGTGATGATAGTTGCTTATCTGGAATATATGCTATAAATGTAATGTTGAAATTCTTTGTTGTTGTTGCTCATGTTCAAGTAAATGCTGGAATTAGTTTCAATATTGAATAATATTTTGGCATTAGGGATCTGTTTATGCTTATTCGTTCCCTGTTACCTGTAACTATTTGAAACATATGCTAGAGTGCAAAAATTTTGAGGCTTAAGGCTTCATGAAATCTTATTTTGATGGCCCTATTTTGACAAATTTGATGTGCTCAGTTTGGCTCCTTTTGGGGTTGTGTTTTGACTGTAATTCTTTCCTGTTTTAGCCCCTCTTGCTGGGCTCAGTTTACTCGGGATGTTTCTCTGTTTTTGTTCCCTTTTGCTGGGTTCGGTTTGGCTTGAAAGTAGGCTCGGTTTAGCCGAAATTATATTCTATTTTTGTCCCCTATGTTGGGTTCGGTTTGACCTAAGATTTGTGTTGGTTTTGGCTCTTTTTCTGGACTAGATTATACCTAGAATGTTTCTCTGTTTTGACCCATTTGATGTGCTCGGTTTGGCTCATTTTGGGTTGCGTTTTGGCTGGAATTCTTTCCTGCTTTAGCCTCTTTGCTGGGCTTGATCCCTTTCACTGGGTTTGGTTTGGCTTGAAACTAGGCTCAGTTTTGTGGAAATTATATTATGTTCTTGGCTCCCATTTTGCTGGGTTCGGTTTGGTTAGAATGTGGCCCTATTTTATTCCTGCGCTGGACTCGTTTTGGCTGGAATTCTGTCCTATTTTCCCCATTCCCCATTCGCTAGGCTCGGTTGGTTGGAGTTCTATCCTATTTTTGGTCTCTTTTGCAAGGTTCAATTTGGTTGTGTGGTAGTTTGGTTTTAGCTACTTGCAAGTCTTAGTTTTAATTCCTCTGGCTGCCCCTATTCGAATACATGTGCAAATCTATTCTAATGATTTAAAAATTGGTTTGGGGGTTTGGTTTTGGCCCCTTGTAATTGCTGCCCCTACCCGTGAGCTTGAGATGTTGGCTGTCATTTTGCTGCCCCTACCCGTGAGCTTAAATTGGTGGTGGTAGCTGTCCCTCTCTGCTGCCCTTGGTCGTGAACCTTATTCTTTAAGTGATAAGTTGGGCTGGTAGTCTTCTTCTTGCTGCTCCTGGCCGTGAGCCTTACCTTGTAGCTTCTTTATGTGGTAATTTGGCGATGGTGGCTGCCCCTCTTTGCTGCCCCTGGCCGTGAGCACTTATATGGTTTTATTTGGATGATTTCGTGCTTATATAACATGGAAGCTTTTGGTTGGAGTTGGAATTAGACGACTTTATTATTTGCAGAATTTTGAGAATTTTGAAGGTGGTCGTTTGTGGATTACATAACTTTATTCGATTTGTGAAATTTGAAAGACCCTTAAACTTCGTTTTGGGAAAACATAAAGTTGATATAAATTGGATTCATAAAAGAATTTGAAAACTCATAAAATTGTCGTAGGTTCGACATTAAAATTTGGATAACATAAATGCCACATTTGAGTTCAAGCTTGGGTGTGTG